CTAGTGCTGGCCTACTGGTGGGCAGAGCCGTGTTCTGGGATGTGGCTCTATGGTCCAGGGGTCCCAGAGCTGGTGTCAGACTGCTGGCAGGTTGGGCCAGTTTCTGACACAGGACTGTGGGGTTTGGGTTGTCCTGAAGCTTATATTGGCCTGCTGGTAGACAGGGCTGTGGCCCAGCCAGTCCCCAAACTGCTGCTAGCCATGGCAGGCTGTGGGGCTACATTTGTCCTGGGTTTGGTGTCTGCCTGCTGGTGGGTCAGGCTGGTCCTGAGGCTACAGCAGGCTCACTGGTGGGTGACGTCTGGGTCCAGGGGATTCTGGGGCTGGTGCTTGCTCACTGGTGGATGAAGCTCGGCCCTGGGATCTGTGGCTGCAGGTCTCTGCTGGGGGTTTTGGGTCTAGTGCCTGTGCACAGGTGTGTGGGGCTGGGTGCTGGGCCCTTTGGTGGGCATGGCTGTGTCCAGGGGGCAGCTGTGGGCTCAGGGGTTCTTAATGCAGCCTGTCTGCTTGTGGATGGGGCTGTGTCACTGCCCCGTTAGTTGCTTGGCCAGAGGCATCCCAGTACTAGTGCCTGCAGGCTGGTGGGTAGGGGCAGGGCTGGGTCCTGAGGCTAATAAGCTAGAGGGAGAATTCCAAAATAGTGACTGCCAGCACCAGTGTCCATGTGGTAGAATGAGCTCCCCAAAATGCTTGCCACCACTGTCTGTGTCCCCAGGGTAAGCTCCCGTTGTCTCCTGTCTCTCTGGAAGTCCCTCCAAGATCAGCAGGTGGGTCTGATCCAGGATCCTTTCAAAATACTGCTTCTGCCTTGGGTTCTGGAGCATGTGAGATTTTGTGTGTACCCTTTAAGAATAGAGGCTCTATTTTCTTCAGGCCTCTGGGACTCCTGAAAGCCCCACTGGCATTCAAAGCCAAACATTCCTAGCACAAGACTGGGTTGGGGAGCCCCGCGTGGGGTTCAGATCCTTTGCTCCTTGGGGAGAACTTCTGCAATTGTAATTATCTCCCGTTTGTGGGCTGCCTACCCAAAAGTGTAGGCTTGACTCTACTATGACTCTGTCCCTCTTATTCATCTCTTTGTGGTTCCATCTTTATATTTTTAGTTGAAGAAGATCTTTTCTGGTAGGTTCCGATCTTTTTCATTGATGGTTGTTCTGTATATTGTTGTGATTTTGGTGTGCCTGTGAGAGGAGGTGAGCTCAGGGTCTTTCTACTCCACCGTCTTCCCATTGTCCTGAATTTAAATGGTGTATCTTCACCTTGTCTGATTAAACCTTTGCCTCTCTTGTAGTTCCCTGTTTATCTCCTTTCCAGCATCTCTCAAAACCTGTAATTTTTGTATTTTTACATTTCTTTTCTTGCTTCCTGTCTTTCTATCTCATTGGAATATAACCCTTATGAGTGCAGGGATCTTGTCTGTCTTGTTCAACTTTGTTTTTGGTACTTAGCACAGTGTTTGGTACTTGGAATTTATGAAAAGAAAAAGTTGTCAATTGGTGAGCAAATGTAAATCTGGTATGTTTATACATTTAGTTGTGTTGTAAATGTTGGCAAGAAATTCTTGAAAAGTTATCATTGCCTCAGTCGTTTCAAGAAACACACCTCTTAATACAAAATTGTTAGAGAGCTTCTCAAGTCATTCTTCTGGTGTACTTCCTTTCCAAATGAATTGATCAACAGAAGAAACCTCATTTATGTCCAGACTTTTTTTTTTTTTTTTTTTGGCTGTGTTGGGTCTTCGCCATTGCATGCGGGCTCTCTCTAGCTGCGGTGAGTGGTGACCACTTTTTGTTGTGGTGCATGGACCTCTCAAAGTGGTGACCCCTCCCATTGTGGAGCACGGGCTCTAGGTGCACGGGCTTCAGTAGCTGTGGCATGTGGGCTTCAGTAGCTGTGGCATGCGGGCTTCAGTAGTTGTGGCTCGCGGGCTCCAGAGCGCAGGCTCAGTAGTTGTGGTGCATAGGCTTAGTTGCTCCACGGCATGTGGGATCCCCTGGACCAGGGCTCAAACCCCTGTCCCCTGCATTGGCAGGTGGACTCTTAACCACTGCGCCACCAGGGAAGCCTTGTCCAGACATTTTTTCATTGTCCTTCCTCCTTGACTACTTGCTAATGACTTAAAAAAGATGGTAGTCTGTTTTAACATCTCTCACCCCAGTGATTATTCATGTTGAGCTCTTGATTTGACTAGATGGAGGGTAGATGCTCACTTAGTAAGGGAGCAACTTTCACAGGTGAAGGGAATCCTTTCCTTGGTTACAGGTAGAGGTTTTCTAATACTTTCCCTAGTGTTGCTTCAAAAATCTATTGGCTGCCTTTGTGGGAGATAATTCTTCATGGGTTTCTTGTATTCCTGCACAATTTGTATCAGAATTCGTTCTCAACTATCTTTGGGAGGATGTTTGTATGGCAAATAGTCTTGGAAGATAGCAATAGTGTTTATTTATAGGGTAGAGGGCAGATTTGTTTGCTTTTCAGGATAATAAAGATAATCTCTCTGGAGCAATGGTTGTGCAGGTTTGCTAGCAGTCCCCTTTAAAAGTCCCCTTAGGGATTTCCTAAGCTTGGGGCTCCTAAACTGGGATACAAACCTATTGTGTGTGTGATACTCAATGTTGGCCACTGGACCTTGCCCTGCAGAACTTGAGCTGGGTGGTAAGGAGAACAAATGTGAACATGAACTTCACGCTGCCTGCTGTGCTCTGAGTAATAAAGTCCTTTATCTTTGATCCACAAGACTAATCACATCTTATTATCTGGGTGTACTCAGCCCCATACTTGTCTCGTCCCATTGAGGAGAAAGCCTGGGAGCTACATCTCCCAGCTTGACGGCTGGTTTCGTTAGGTTCTTCCATGGAAGGGACTCCCACGTGATACGAAGATGGAAATAAGCAGAAGCCCTTTGACTTCTGGCTCCAGCAGCTGTGGTGACCTGCAGGGCGTCAGTGGCAGCAGCAGCCACAGAGAATGTGGTCCCACTGCGTGAGGAAGACCAGCATGGCTTCTTGTAGGTCCTGATCTCTGGACACCTCCTTCCCCTCTGGTCTCCTCTAGGCTCTCCAGCGATGTTGTAGCCTAACCCCCAGCATTCATTTCTTTTCTGTTTTAAATGACAGAGTGCTTCCTGTTTTTCTGACTGAACCCTTGTCTGATCTCCCCCCCTCCCCCGCCCATTTAAGGCTCTTTGGCAAAGTTAGTTGGAGGACAGCGTCCCTATCAAGGCCAGAAGGCTTCAATAAGCTTTTTCAGAAATTAAGATGAGTGGCTCCGTGGAGAAGATTTTGACCAGACTTATCTTCCCAGCCTCAGGAGGAGCTGCTAGAACACAAAGAATGTTGTGAACTTGCTCCAAAAAACCAGGACCACATAAATGTACTAATTAGATTAAAGAAACAAAATGGAAGAGAAGCAACTGGAACATGGCTGCAAGGCTTAAAGAAAAAGCTGCTTCATCTGCTGATAAAATGTGGGCTAATGACCAATCCTTAATTCTCTTCCCTTCCTTATGGGAGGAAGGAGTGACGGGAGTAGTTGAAGCACCCAAAGTGCATGGGGAGCTGGACATGTCTGCTGCTCTAGCAGCTGTGGTGGAAACCTGCTCCATGACAGAAAATTCAGCTCACTCTGTCAGCCAAGCAGGAATGAGAAGGACAGGCCTGTAACTGAGATACTCACCTGGGTAAAATGATGAGATGTCTATTTCACTTGCTTCCCTTTTTATCTCCAACACAAAAGCTGGTGTGCTTCTTAGTGTGGCTGAGTTCTTGCCAATGAGTTTCTTAATCCAGCAAAACCAGTGGACACTTTGTGTCTGTTCATTCTGAAGCTCATTGGAACATCTCTGGGAAAAGCCTTGATTTGAAAAGGTTAGGATTTTATGAACACTTGGATTTGACCTCAAACAAAAACCTTGGATCCTACTAGAATTCTAGTTTCACCAGAAAGGAAAGAAGCTACATACATCCAGAGAGGACTTGAAACCGTGTGCCCTGAGAATGGTTAAACTGGGAGGAGGTTGGAGCAGGGGAGGGTAATTGAAGTAGCATCTGTCCTAAATTATGTGACTCACTATGTAACTGTTGACATTTCTCCTGATATTTCACAGCTGATCGTGGAGCTTCCACCACTAGTTTCTTCAACCAAATGAATGACGTTTTTCAGCGCAGGCAGCTCCTCTTTTCCGTCTGTTACGTGCATGCTGATGCCATCAGAGAAAAAGTCCAACTTCTCTTCTGGAAACTGGAAGGGTTGTCAACAGTTTCAAAATGGTGCAGTGTATCTTAGCCAAGCAAAACTTTGTCTGAAAGAAAAATCGTGATACCCTGTGTACAGATGGGGTCCCTGGATGCTTGGCGCTGCACTAGGCTTTCCTGCCTTGTGACATGTTGCAGTGATTCACTGTCTTTGACACAGGCATGTGTTGGCATCAAAACCCTGTCAAAAGTCCTGAAAGAAGCCCTGCTTACTGCTAGGAGAAGCATTAAATTCACAACTAGCATCTTTCAAGAGGTTTTGTCAAGAAATGGGAGCCAGATACAAAGTTCTTCTGTATTACACAATTTATGGTTTCCCGAGATCAAACCTTGAAACTAGTGGTTGGATATCAGACGGTAATTTCTTTTCTTTTGAGAGAAAAAGAAAGTAAATTTACTCTCAGTTTTGGCATGGGAGCAGCTCATTCACGGCCTGACTTTCCTGGCAAATAGTTTTGGTCACACACTTGAGTAAATCTTTTGATTCAAGTTTCTGCAGTGATAATTGTGGGTGCCACTGAAAAATGACAAGCTCGGGGCTTCCCTGGTGGCGCAGTGGTTGAGAATCCGCCTGCCGATGCAGGTGACACGGGTTCGTGCCCTGGACCAGGAAGATCCCATGTGCCGCGGAAAAGCTGGGCCCGTGAGCCATGCCCGCTGGGCCTGAGCGTCTAGAGCCTGTGCTCCTTAACGGAAGAGGCCACAGCAGTGAGAGGCCCGTGTACCACAAAAAAAAAAAAAAAAAATGACAAGCTCTTTGACCAAGCTGCTACTGGAGGTGACCAAATGTGTGAATTTTCTGGTGCTGGAAGAAGTACTTTTGTAGTCTGGAAATGGGGATACTGAGAAGATAGCATTGTATGTAGACTCCTGGCAATATGGTAGAGTTTGTTTAGAAGTTATTTTGCTGAGATAACCTTAAAATAGGAGTTTGGATTTGAAATTCCTTCCTTGCTGACAAAGACAGCACCAAAGATTCAGACTTTGCTAAAGATACTGTGATGGTTAATTTTATGTGTCCACTTGATTAGACCATGGTGTGCCCAGATATTTGGTTAAATATTCTGGGTGTTTCTGTGTTTTTGGATGAGCTTCACATTTAAATTGATAGGTTGAGTAAAGGAGGTTGTCTTCCCTAATGTGGGTAAGCCTCATCTAATCAGTTGAAAGTCTGAATAGGACGAGAAGTCTGACCCTCTTCTGAGTAAGACAGAATTCTTCCTGCCTAACTGCCTTTGAACTGGGATATTGATTTTTTTTTCTTGCCTTTGAACTCAAATTGAAACATTGTTGCTTCCTGAGTCTCCAACCTGCCAGCCTTTGGACTGAAACTGTGCTGTTGGACCTCCTGGGACTTGCCGGCCTCCATAATCATGTGAGCCAATTTCTTATTATCTCTATATCATCTATATCTATATATCTATATCTATATCTTTATCTATATCCTCTTGGTACAATTCTCTGGAGAACCCTGACAATTACAGATACCACCACTGATGTGAAGCCAAAAGAGATAACTTGACTTGTGGTCAGTTCAGAGACCTGGAGAATCCTAGTGTTCCTTGACACAAGATTATTTTAATTTTGCAAATCAAATGATGGTATTTTTTTTTTTTTTTTTTTTTTTTTTTTTTTTTGCGGTACGTGGGCCTCTCACGGTTGTGGCCTCTCCCGTTGCGGAGCACAAGCTCTGGAAGCGCAGGGTCATCGGCCATGGCTCATGGGCCCAGCCGCTCCATGGCATGTGGGATCTTCCCGGACCGGGGCACAAACCCTTGTCCCCCGCATCGGCAGGCAGACTCCCAACCACCGCGCCACCAGGGAAGCCCGATGGTAGTTTTTTATTTCATTTACTGCAGAGAAATTGTTGTAACATTTAAGAGCTGACCCCCAAATTCCTCTTTGAGAGAACTGTCTGTTGGAAATCATTTGTTGATAAATGTGTAACTAGGATAGATTTTGTCACTGCTCAGTTGTGCCCAATGCTGGAACTGGTGACTTGCCCCTCTGTCTTCCAACTCCCTCTCTGGGGGACTTTTGCAAATCCTGGGCTTTTGAAAAATGAAGTGTCTATAGGACACATTTTGGATGTGGTAGAGTCCAGATAAATGTCCTTCTGGTGGATGACCCATGGGTGACAAGCCCTCCCCCATCAGCAATGAAAAGAAAGTCTCCATAGCCCCTCAGTGTATCAGTAGTAACTGAGCTGTCTGGCTCTCACTGCAATGGCCACGGGTGGTGACTGGGCATTGGCTCAGCTTCCATCAGCCTCCTTGCAGAAGATGCTTTAGGAATCTGGCTGCCCTTGATGATGACTCTGCTCATTCACTTGCCATCCCTCCCCCACCCCATCTTTGTGATTCAGCTCTTCCTCCTACTTCCTCTCATGTGCTCTAGTACATGCTCTTTTCCCTGTCACCTCCTTACCCAGTAATCCTCATTTAGTTCCCTTGAGGGACCTGTCTGCCTCTCCTTCAACTTTCTTTCTAATAAAGTATTCTGATTAAATTCCCTCAGGACTTTCCTGTTTTCCACGTAACAGCCCGTTGTAGATGTAAAACAGAAATCAAAAGTTGAACAAAATCCAGAGATCCAACAAAACCCCCAAAACTCTACACTGTGTGTTTTGCTTTTTGTATGCCTGCTTTTATAATTTGAATCCTTTTCAAGGCATCGTGGCTGCCTCTTGCAGATTGGGGAGGGTCAGTACAAAGAAGTGGTACAGAAACAACAAAGACAAGGTACAAGATTATCACTGGGTAAAAGGGGAGCCCTCTTGGTGTCTGGATATTGATGAGTCCCAAAGCTTCAAAGAATGACCACCACTGCTTTGTCTAATAGAAAGAAAAATTTAGAGTCAGTAAAATGGTACAACATTACTTGATGTGACCTTTCTGTGCTTTCCCCCAACCAAAAGAAAGGTTCGGTCACATCTATAAATAACACAAAAGCTTGTGTGTGAAAAGGGAGCCGAGATGGAGTTATTGTTGGATGGATAAGGTAGGATGTAAGGACATCAGAGCTTAGAGGTGAGGCCAGGCAAATGCCAGTTGGCGCAGAACTAGTAGAAACCTTGAGATTGAGCTTTGGATTTCATGAGCCATGAAATTATTGAGTACAAGAAAATTTTACCTAAAGATCATGGGGGCAGCGAGGCCTCCAGCTGTCTTGAAGGTTACAATAATTCACATCTTTGTGATTAAGCACTTATTAGAAACCAGAAGTGGAAATAAGTTGGATATTAATGCTGACAAGTGTGTAATGTCAAAGATCACTGTAATGTAACTTCTTATTCTTGCAAAATAACTTCAGGATTCTCATTTCTGAGCAGTCATCAAGCTAATTTTCATTTCACTGGAACGACTTGATTTATTTCACATTTTCAGGAAGTTGCCACTAATTTCTGCAAGAAAAAAAAAAAAAAGAAATATACCAGTCAGGGTTGATAAAGCAGAAAAGGGTTTTACTGAAAGAATATGGGGCTGCTCCCAGAGTTTCTGGGAGGGCTGGCAGATGAGCCTTGTGAAGCCGACAGGAACAGTGGCAGACTAACTAGGCAGCCACAGCCATGGCCAAGGTTGCACAACAGAATCAAAGTCAGGGAAGCACGTTGCTGCCTCTAGAGGGCTCTGGATGCCTCAGTTTTCACCACTGTTGCTAACGGTGCTGAATATCACACCCAGCAGCTGCTGGCCCAGCCACCATAATGGACTTTGTGCTGTTCCTGCTTCTTTGTCCAAATTGAGAATGCCAGGCTGCTGCATTTAACTGGCCAAATCTGTGCCAGTAGTCCATGCCCTAAATGTCAGGGGTGCTGGGGAATAAGCATCTGTGTTTTGTGGCTCCCATGGTGGGAAGTAAGCTTGAGCAGTGAATGAGGTTAATATGGGTATAATATGTGAGGAAATCAAAAGAAAGATAGAAATTACAATCATATACAATATGGAGAAAAATTTTTTAATAAAGTGTTGTTTTTCTATGTTGCCTATGTGAAAGCAAGAAGCATTCAAGGCAATAATATAAATTGTGTATAAAGATGCCCATGGGTATTTTTAGATAAAATTATTTTGGGGAGCAGATGCATAGGTTTCATGAGCTTTTCAAAAAGTCATTGTCTTTTTATACTTTCCCCAATGCCAGATTTTCTTTCTCATCTCCATCACCTAGAGAGTTTGAACACATTACACTCAAAGCTCAGAATGTCTCTTAAACATATGAAAAAAATGCTTAAATCCTCTCATAATAAGAAAAATACAAATTTAAATTACAGTGATACCAGTTATTATCAATTATATTGGAAAAACCAAAAAGTCTGACATCATATTCTGTTAGTGAAGCTGTTGGGAAACCTACTCTTTCTTACATTGCTGATGGAATTGTAAAATTGTCTGACCTCTCTGGAGGAAACTTTGGCAATATAGAGCAACTACATAGGCATAATCTTTTTTTTAGGAATCCATCTCAAAGATACACTGGCAAAAAATACAAAATAACAAACGCACAGAGCTTTTCATTGAGGCATTATTTGTAATTCTAAATGTAGTAGGCAGAATACTAAGATAGACCCACCCATTCTCTCCCCCCAACATATGTCTTGCATAGCTCCCTCCTCTTCAGTGCAAGCAGAATCTGTGAATATCATAGGATATCCCTCTCAGGATTAGGCTATATTATATGGCAAATGTAAAGGAATCTTTCAGATGTAGTTAAGGTCCCTAAACTGTTGACTTTGAGTTAATCAAAAGGAGGATTATACTGAGTGGACCTGACCTAATCAGGTGGGTCCTTGAAACAGATTCTCTCTCTCTTTTTTTTTCTCAAAGTTTCCTTGTACCCTTTTTTTTTTAACTTTTTATTTTATATTGAAGTATAGCCGATTAACAATGTTGTGATAGTTTCAGGTGCACAGCAAAGCGACTCAGCTGTACGTATACATGTATCCATTCTCCCCCAGATTCCCCTCCCATCCAGGCTGCACATAACATTGAGCAGAGTTCTCTGTGCTATACAGTAGGTCTTTGTTGGTTATCCTTTTTAAATATAGCAGTGTGTACATGTCAATCTCAAATTCCCTAATTATCCCTTCCCTCCACCTTTCCCCCACGGTAACCATAAGATCATTCTTTAAGTCTTTGAGTCCATTTCTGTTTTGTAAATACGTTCATTTGTATCATTTCCTTTTAGATTCTGCATATACGTGATATCATACGATATTTCTTTCTCGAAGCAGAGATTCTCTTGATGGCTTTGGAGAAGTAAGCTCCACGTGTGAGAGGACCTCTGGAGGGGGTTCTGTGGTTAGGACCTGAGAGAGGCTTCTAGTTTCTGAAAGTCATCCCAGATGACAGCTAGTGAAAAAAAAATAGGGATTTCACTTTACAACCATAAGGAACTGAATTCTGCAAATACTAGTGAAGGAGGAAGAGAACTGCAAACTTCACATGAGATCACAGCCTTGGCCAACATTTTGATTTCAGCCTGGTGGGATGCTAAGCAGAGGACCCAGACAACCTGTGTGCAGACTTCTGACCCAGAGAACTGTGAGGTAATAAATTTGTGTTGTTTTAAGTTACTAAATTTGTGGTAATTTGTTATGCAAGAGTAGAAAATGAATACACTGACAAACAAAATACTACCAAATGTCCATCAATAGGGGACAGATTGAATAGACTATGGTATATCCACACAACTGAGTACTTTGTAGTTGTAAAAAGGATAAAAAGATCTAGGTGGGGAATGGTGTTTTTACATGCAATCTTGTGTATAAGAAAAGGGGAATAAGAGTACATACACACCAATGCTTACATTTTCAAAAAGAAACAGTGGAATGATTAACCAAAATAAACAAATACGGTTACTTAGAGGGGCAGTCAGGGACCAAGGAGGAGATGGGACTCATGCGAGACTTTTGTGATACACCTTATTGTCTTTTGACTTTGGTACTTTGGCTTACATAATTAAAAACAAAATTAAAGAATAAAAAGGAACTATTAAATATTAAAAACTAGTGGAAATAAAACAAATCTAGCTGTATATCAATTTGGTAGCATTAATCACACCCATAAATGAATTATTTAAAGTAACTCTAAAGCACAGTGTTTTGACTGTTGCTTCCTGGTGGAGTGTACATATGTAAGGAATGTAAGCATAGATTTATATATGTGCCCTGGGAAACTACTCACCTAGTCCAAGCAGGGTAAATGCAAGGGGTCCATACCCAGACATGTTGTAGTGAAAAGAGTAAAAGCCAACGACAAAAAGGAAATCTCAAAAGGAGTGGGGAGAAAATGGACTCTTTACACACAAGGGAACTTCCATAAGATTAAAAGATGACTTCTTCTCAGAAACAATGAAGGACAGAAGGTAGTGTGATGACATTTTCAAAGAACTGAAAGAAAAAAATTGTCAACTAAGAATCTTAAATTCTGCAAAAAAGGTGAAATAAAGACATTCCCAGATAAACAAAAGTGGAGACAATTAGTTGCTAGGAGATCACTTTATCTGAAATACTAAAGACTTCTTCAGGCTAAAAGCAAGTGACACCTGGACTGTAATTCAACTGCACACCAAAAACCAAAAAGTAATGGTAAAGGTAATTATATAATCATAAAAGATGCTTATTTCTTTGAACTACAATTTAAAAGCAATTCTGTGAAATTACATATATAAATGAATTATTGGTCCTATAACACATAGGAATGCAACCATATTTGAACAGCACAAAGGAAGTGGATGGGAGTAAGGCTATGTTGGAGTAAGGAAACGATGCCAGATGGCGATGTGAATGTATGGGGACAAAGGAAGAGAACCAAAAATAGTAAGTAAGGAGATTAATTTAACCAACTCTAGTTTATATACTTCCTCTCCTTTATTCTCTCAACTTCTTTAAAATAAAAAAATATATAAGATAATAAGTAGAATAACCTATTGTTGGGTTTGTAACATATATACATGTACTATGCATAACAATTATAGCTCAAAAAGGAGAAAAAGGGAATAGAGCTATACCCAAGAAAATTGAAAACATATGTCCACACAAAGACTTGTACACAAATGTTCATAGCAGCATTATATCATAATACCCAAAACTTGGAATCAACTCAAATGTCCATCAGCTAGTGAATGGACAAACAAAATGTGCTATATCTGTACAATGGCATATTATTCAGCCATTAAAAGGAATAAAGTACTGATAAATGCTACAATAGGGGTGAATCTTGAAAACATGCTAAGCGAAAGAAGGTAGACAGAAAAGACTTCATACTGTATGATTCCATTTATATGAAATGTCCTTTATAGGCAAATCTATAGATTCAGAAAGTAGATTAATAGTTGCCTAGGGCAGGGGATAGATTGGGGGTAGGAGAAATGAGGAGTTACTACTGATGGACATGGGGTTTCTTTGTAGGGGAATGAAATGTTCTAAAAATCCATTATGGTGATAATTGTGCAATTCTGTGAACAAACTAAAAACAAGTGAATTGTATACCTTAAATGGGTGAATAGTATGTGAATTATATCTTAATAATGCTGTTAAAAAAAAAGTCTAATGAAATCATGCCAACAGTGCATAGCAGCCAACTGGAAAGGAGCTCCCAGTGCACAGGGCAATTTGAGCATCAAAAAGACTGACTGCATTGAATTGAAACACAGTATATATATATATAGTGAGTTTTAGTTTGTAAAGACAACAAAACAAATATCTCACCATTCACCACTGGAGGTTGCCAGACCACCAATCATTTCTGTGAAAAACTGAAAGAGGAAAAGAACCAAGCTTATCCTGCCTTACCTGTATGAATTGTATATTTATATAACTGAAGAGCTGATGAAAGAAAATTCTTTATAGAAGAAGTTCAGCCTAAAGGTACAGAGAGAATGGTAGAATAAGAAAATCACTGTTTTGCAACTTCTAAGGAAATAATGCTTCTGGGCAACAATCATGTATAAATAATAAAAGTATGAGGTAAAATTTGATGGGAAAATCTTATAATGGAGGGATCAGGGTCATATAATTTGAACCCTCTGATTTCATCCTTTTAAAAAATAACAGCTTTATCGAGAAATAATTCACATGCAATAAAAATTCACCCTTTAAAGTATACAATTCAGTGGTTTTGAGTATAATCACAGAGTGGTGCAACCATCACCACTATCTAATTCCAGAACATTTTGTTAACACTTCAAAAAGAAACTTGATCCCTATTAGCAGTAAGTCCCCATTCCTCCTTCCCACCAGTTTTTGGCAACAATTAATCTATCTCCTCTCTCTGTGGATTTGCTTATTCTGGACATTTCATTTAAACAGAATCAAATGATATGGCTTCTTTCACTTACCATAATGTTTTTATGGTCATCTGTGTAGTAGCATGTATCAGTATTTTGTTCCTTTTAATGGTTGAATAATATTCCATTGTATGGATATACCACATTTTGTTTATCCATTCATTAGTTGATGGAAATTAGGTTCTTTCTATTTTTGGCTATTGTAACACTGCTAAGAGCATCTGTGTACAAGTCTTTGTGGGGACATATGTTTTTAGTTTCTTTTGGTATATACCTAGGATTGAAATTGGTGGGTCATATGGTCACTTATGTTTAACTTTTTGAGGTGATTCCATCTTATCACTAAAAGTAGGATGGTAAAATATTATGCGCTTCATAATATGATGTAAAAAAATATACAGCATACATACAAAGTATTCTGGTCTAAGCAACTGAATCTGAATATAATCAAGCATGTAGATCAGGAATATGTAAACTTTTCTGTAAAGGGCAAGACAGTAAATATTTTAGGCTTTGTGGACCATACAGTCTCTGTCACAACTTCTAAACTCTACTGAGAAGCATGAAAGGAGGTACAGACAATGTGTAAATAGAAGACATTGCTTTGCCCCAATAAAACTTTATTTCAGAGCAGGCTGCAGGTCACATTTGGCCCACAAGTCATAATCCTTGTTTGAGATTTTATAGAAAACCTGGCGGAGACAGAAACACATTAAATCAGCCAAACTTGGAAAGTGAGACAAGTGACATGGTTTTTTCAAAAAAACATTACTGGCATTAAAATGGCTTACATTCTGTTTTTTCCATAAATGCTCTCTCTTTTTTTTTAATCTCATGCTGTGTGTTTCTTGAGTGAGTAATAAAAAGAAGCTTGGGTGTATCTGAAGGAACATAGTGGCTTACGACATATCTTTCAGTGACCTTATTGTGCTGCTACTTCTCCTAATGGTAAAAGACCCCTCTGTTTGGACCAATTATAATTCTTCATCCCTATGGTGACAATAATCTCAACAAGATGTGAACATTTATCTAAGGCAGACCAATTAGAATTTTCCCTTCAACCTTTATTTTTTCAAGGTGAAGCTGGGATAGAAAAGCTATATTTTCTCTCTGGTTGTGAGAGCATAAGAATGCAAGCCCCAAGACAGCTCTAGTCAGTTTCAGGTTTCGGTAGCCTTTGATCTTTAGAATGAAACCAATCTGAAAGGAGAAGGAAAAGTGTATGTGTGTGTGTGTGTGTGTGTGTGTGTGTGTGAGAGAGAGAGAGAGAGAGAGAGAGAGAGAGAGAGAGAGAGGGACAGAGGGACAGAGAGGGAGAGAGAGAATGGAGGGGATTGGAGAGATTTATTTGCAACCAAAGAGTTCCATTTAATATGGTCATCTTAAAAGATTTTTGAAAGGATTAGACATAATACGTATAAAATTGCTGACATAGCAGACTTTCAACAAATGTTGTTTTTTAAAACTAAATCACAAATTGCTTATGTTTTATACATTATTATTTTATTTCCTATGTTTATATGCCCTGTCTTACAAACACATTGTCAGTTCCATGAGGGCAGGAAACATGCATATTATACTTCCTTGCTTTCCAGAGGGTCTAGCATGATCTTAGTTAATTTCTGTAAAAAAGATATTCTTCATTGATAAATAAGAACATGAAAATGTATTATTTGATTATAGAACTAGAATGACCTTAATATCTTCCAGTGAAGGTAGACTTGTTTTCTGTGAATTTATCTCAAGTTAGAAGTAGCATTTTTTTTTATTTTTAAATTTTTTTAAATGGAAGTCTCTTCTCGGGTGTATTATTGTTTTTCAGTTAGTGGAAGAAACATGAGTTAAATTATAAAATTTTTTTTCTTGGAAATTCATGGATGAGATGTTATTGCTCATGTAATTTAGGTTCTAATGTTGAATATTTAAGGCACATTTTTAGCTTAATTGCTGGAAAGCAATACCACCACAAGTTGAAATAGTTTAAAAATAGAAAAAGATATAAAATTATAGTGAACATGTCATTTGAAGTAATTTACATTCTAAACAAAGTCTGAAAGAAGTCATTAGAGTTATTCAGAGCAATTAGTTGATGGTTTTTAAAAGACCCATGTAATTTGAATTTGTTTACTTTATACATTTAAAGGCTTTACATATATAATACCAAAATTGCTGTCCTAGTTTTTAAATAAGTGAAACTCTTTTATTTTTTCTAAAAACCAAATTGTTAGAACCCTAAAAATATCTATTGCTGTTCTGAATATAAAGCTTACTTACTAACCAAGTATGATGTCAGTCCCACATTTCAAAAATTTTAAACAAATATGAATATGTCCTAGTTATAATATCTAGGTGAGGCATGTCCTATAGCTTCCTCTCTTTAGCTAATGATAATTTTTAACAACTTTCTCATTCTTAGGAAATATTAGAATTAAATGAAAATTTGTCATTTCAATAATAATAGACATTTTCTTATTTATACTTACATATGAAATTTCTTTTCCAAAAAAGTTGTCCTAAGAAAATGTTTTCTTCCTGTGGTTCATGTAATATAGGAACATAATTTGATTTACGTAAGTTATAGGAAAAAAATAAACTGAGATGCTTTCACTTGAGCTTGAATCAATATTTAATTTTAAGTAAACAAATACTTAAAAATTGTAATCTTGGGAATTCCCTGGCAGTCCAGCGGTTAGGAGTCCGCACTTCCACTGCTGAGGGCTGGGGTTCAATCCCTGGTTGGGGAACTAAGATCCTGTAAAATGCGCCGCGTGGTCAGAAAAAAAAAATTGTATTCTTTACTGCCATTTCTGTCCAGGATGGATTAGCAAGCACAGGATTTATCTTAAACAACAAAATAAGCAGACAAAATATATGAAACAATGGCTTTCAGATATTGGACAACAGGCAGTACATGAGAGTGATCTCTGAGAGAAGGGAACAAACAAGGTGAGCCCTATGATTGCTCAAGCTACAGGCTAAAGAGAGTTTCTGGGCTTCACTGCAGGGTGCGGGAGTCCATACAGAACCTGGCAGACTCCCTTAGTTGAGGAGACAGAGTGCAGAGTTCATGGTGGCCAAGCCACTTATAATGGAAAGAGCAGAGTACTCGAGAGGAAAGAGCTGCACAGCTAGAGAGTTCTAGAGACCTGGCTTTCAAATGTTTATACAGAAAGGTTCAGACTAGTCAGAATAGTCCATGGAGCTCACACAGTTCCAGGAATAGTTTGTGTTTGTACCAGCCAGAGTGAAAAGCTTCTTTATTCCCAGGGATTGATAAGAGAGTCAAATAACCCTGGATGAGGGGTAGACAACTATGACATGTGGGTCAAATCTGGCCTTTTATGTACAGTTCACAAGCTAGGAATGGTTTTTACATTTTTAAAGGGTTATTGAAAGCAAATGAAGAGTATGCCACAGATTATATGTGGCCCCTAAAACCTAACTAGTAACCATGTGGTCCTTTACAAAAAAAGTTTGCTGAACCCTATCCTAGACTAAAGGCTGTTCTAAACCTGCCTAATAAGGGTTAAA